TCTCCAAGGACCAGTCCCTCCTTGCAACATGCCCAAAGTATGTCAGACAAAGCTTCAGAATCCTTGCCTCCAAGAAGCAGCTCGGCTTCACCCTCTCCAGGACAAACCTGTTTGTTCTCTTAGCAGTCCATGGTATATTCAACACTCTTCTCCAGAACCACAGCTCAAAGGCATCAATCAATTCTCTTTCTATCCTCCCTAGTCACTGTCCAGCTCTCCCATGCATAGCACGTAATTGCAAAGACTATAGCCTGGATCAGGCGCACCTTAGTCTCCAGCCTGACGTCGTTGCTCTTCAGTACTCTTGAGAAATCCCTGACAGCTGACTTTCCCAGTGCAATTCGTCTCTTGATTTCCTGGCTGCTGGTACCAAGAATGTTGACTGTGGCGCCAAGCAAACTAAAACTGCTAACTATCTCAATCTCTTCACCATCCATACTGATGCTGCCCATTTGCCCAGTGGTGAGAATCTTTGTTTTCTTGATGTGGAGCTTCAATCCACATTGAAGGCTGCCGTCCTTGACCTTCTGCAGCAAGCGCTTCAGGTCCTCCTCAGTTTCAGCAAGCAGGGTTGTGTCTGCATAACTATAAAATAGAGTCATGAACTGCTTTATTTACACATATGATCACATTTATGGTTTGAACGTGGGTCCAGCGTTGTGTTGGGCGCTTAGTGACAATGTTTGTTGTCCTTCCTGCATAGCTTCACCCTTCTCATTTCAAAGTTGAAGGGCAGAGATGTTGACGCTTACTCTAGGTTTGCTCAGCAAACAAGAGTCCGTTGTTCCAGCACCAGAACCTCTACTCCCTCTAGTGGTTTTTTTTAGGGCACAAGTGTCCTTAATCTGGGTTAAGTTTGGACCTCGGTCCTTTCCGTACCCTCGTCAGTCCTCATAGCACTTGAGTTCCACCTGTCCAAGCATATATCTCTTCCTGACCAATCTCCGCGGTTTTAGACCGAGAGGGGGCGGGGATCTTTAGATTGACATCCTCTTCAGTTTCTGATTTGATAAAACATTGAGATGGACAGCGCAACTGTCCAATAGATGTGAAACCCAAGACTAGAGCCTACCATTGTGCTAGGGAGGCGGGGCCCCACGACGGGTAGAAGGGGTTCGGGTTATTGTCGCCGCTGTCGCGGCGTCTGACGGGCTGTAGCAGTTGTCGGAGAGCCAGGTTCGGTGTCCGCCGCCGCCATGAGCTACACAGGTGCGTTCAGCGAGATAAGGGGTAGGCCTGGGGAGGGGCATTAAGGAGGTGTGTTGAAGCCGCGTCAGGCTTGTTCGCCCCTCTTCGTCCAGGTCACTGCCCGCTCTGCGACCACAAAATGGCGTCGCAGGCTTGTCTCCTCAGGTTGTGCCCCTCGCGGCCTGGTTCCTCAGTCCCCCGTGCTCCCAGCCTCGCGTCCGCGATCCAGGCTGCCTGAGGTCTCGGCGTCTGCCGTGTTGTCTCGGGCCGTGGGCCTCTCTACCGGCCGGCCGGCTGCGGTCCTCGGTCCTCGTGACCGTCCTGTGGACCCTCCTCTGCTTTGTTTTCCCGCAAAATACCGCAGCGCCCAGCCGTGTTGCTGGGGAGACGGGCGCGCCAGCCCCGCGAGGGAAACGCAGACGGAGGGTTTCAGCTAAAAGCGGGGTCCCCGGGCCGAGCCCGCGCTGCGTCGACTCCCACGCTGGTGTATTTAGCAGATGCTAAATGTGCTGCGTGGTCCCCGCCGCTTTCCAGGAGCTGCGGCTGGAGGGTGAGCGCGCGTGTGCCCGACAGTTGTCTGTTAGGAAAAGGTTTTCCTTGGCTCTGACCTTCGGGCGAATTCGAACCGTGCACCTTCTTTTTCTTTTTCTTTTTGTTGTTGTTGTTAGGCAAATGTTAAACCTTTCGGACCACCCAGGGCTGCTTCCCGTCAATTCTTTAAAAAACTGTAAGAGAAATAGTCGGGAGGAGTCGAGCTCCCTCCCGCCCTTGGCGACCCCAGCATGTGCACAATCGAGCCGCTCACTGGGGTTTTGGGAAAACAGATTTGCAAGGACTTTTGAGGACTTTCTGGGTGTCCAGCCTTCGGGTTCATAGTCGGTTGCTCCATCATGTGTGACAACCCCCCCCTTTCCCAGCCCCCGAGATCTGTAGCATCAAATGGGCCTTGAGAAGACCAGCCTCCTCCCCCCCCCCAAAAAAAAGAACATCTTAAGCAGCTCGCTGGTCGGCAACGTGCAGATCTCAGCAGGCAAAACAAGTGAACACGTGATTAGTCCTGGGAGGAAGGGGGGGTTCAGCAGAGGCAGCAGGATGGAGAGGGGGGCAGTGAGGCTGGCTGGCTGGCTGGCTGGGAGCTGTTGACAGCAGCGCAGGGGCTGGAATGTGCGTGGCATGTCTGGGGCTCAGCCAAGGCATCTGTAGGATTGGAGCAGAAGGGGAGCGTGGGTGCGGGATCTGCGAGGGGCCTCAGATGCGCTTGAGCGATGGATGACAAAGCCCACAGGCCACCCCGGGCTTTGCCTTGGCAGCCACAGCTGCAGCTTCTCGCTCTGGAGATGGCCATGGGGCCTCCCAGTCAGTGGAGGGTATTAGATGGAACTGTTTATGGCAATTTGATATCACCCTGGAGAGGGTGAAACCAGGCTGCTCCTTGGAGGCAAGGATCCTGAGGCTTTGTCTGACATACTCTGGACATGTTGTAAGGAGGGACCGGTCCTTGGAGAGGGACATCATGCTTGGTAGGGTGGAGGGACAGTGCAGGAGGGGACCCTCTATGAGGTGGATTGATTCAGTGACTGGGGTAATCGGGATGGGTGTTGTCGGGCACAGTGAGATTGCCCCAGGACAGAGCAGGTTTAGGGCTCTTGTACATAGGGTCACTATGAGTCAAGCAACTCCAGGGCACATAACAACAAAGTGAATACATCTTTATCTTGAGATGTAAAAAAAAAAATAAATCAGGCAAGGGGAGGGGGTGGTTGCTGGGTAACCTGCAGTCTAGTCCCAATGTCCAGGCTCAGAAGGGACCCCCGGCCTCCACAGTTCCACTGCAGGCTGCCTGGGCTGGTGAAACCACGGTTTCATGGAGATCCTTGTTGTCTCAGCAAGAAAAAGCCTGGTGATCTATTTCTGAAAGAGCAGCCATTGGAAATGCGACAGCACATAATTCTGCTCTGACATATGAGGAGTCTGCTATGAGTCAGAGTCGATTCCATGGCAGGCAGTTGAGCAGAAAGGCAGAGCAGGAGCTAGGCAAGATCCCATTTTTCTAGTAATCGTCTCCAGTCCAGCAGATCTTAACGAAGAGCCATAACGCCCCTCAAATCCTTTGGCAGTGTCTAGAAACGCTTTTGAGTGGCACACCTGGGTGTGTGGAGACACTGCTGACATCTTCTAGTGTGTGTGTAAGAGCCACAAGGGGTAGGCAGCTACCCTCAACCAGTTCTTAATGTCTTGACTGTGACTCACAGTGTGTCACATAGAACTGTACTGCATAGAATTGCTTTTGGTTTTGGAGGTTTTTTTCCCTCCATAGAATTTTTAATGGCTAAGATTGGAAGCAGGAGTGGCATCCACTTCCTACACAACATGCCTCCGGAAACTCTGTGAACTTTGATAAATGACGATAGTTACAGAAAGGCTTCAGGCCTTTTGTTCATAAGGTCTCTATGAGTCTTGCTCGACTCAATCAATAACCAACAATATTTCAGAAGTAGATAACCAGGCCTTTCCTCTGAGATTTCCCTGGATTGCCATTTAGTTTGTAACTGAATACTTGTTTGGACATTCAAGCGCGGCCATGGAGACTGCTAGATGTCCTCCAGTGCACAGACAGCCCTCCATGGCAGCGTCTGTAGTACCGCTCATCTCTTTATCTGTTGATATCCCCTTGGCTGTGTATTCTTGAGAATGGAAGCCAGTTCTATGGGATTTAGGTGAAGAAATTCAAGATGGGTGGTTAGGTGCTGTGAAGTACCTATTTACTATAGGAGGGGAACTTCAGCCCAGTAATTTGAATGAGATTGTGCAACCACTAATGACAAAGCCTGAATTTCATCTCCAAATTTCATAGGCTGAATTTATAGCTTTGAATGGGCCCTGAGGTAGCCACACTAAGGAAGTAATGATGAGTTTTCCTCAATTATGACACACCAAAAACCACAGTAGCTTTATAACATGAGTCTTTTCCATTTCAATTGAAGGCTACTAAATTCAAAGGAATTTAGTTACGCATTTAAGAATAACTTTTGGAAGCCCCAGGAACTGTTGTTATTGTTAAGCATAGAAGGTGATTAAAATTTCTATTTTTGTTAATTCCTTGTTTTTTAACTCATTTGCTTTTTTTTTTTAAATGCTTGGTCCACTAAGCAAGGAGTTCAATGAGTACATCTCACCATGGCAGCTAACTACTTGATAGGATCTTCACTTGTCCATTTCACTATCCACATGACACTCTTTTCGCTGACTTTGGTCTCCAGGAGCTGGGTCGGAGTCCATAAGTTAGTATTTTTCAGACTGGCTTCCCGCATAGCATTTCTTGGACCCTAGCCACCGAGGGTTTTATTGAGTAAGCAAAAGCATTTGACTCTCTGTATCCTAACAGATTATGGCTAACATTGAGAACTATAGAAATCCCACTTAGTTAATTAAATATACATCAAATCTATACCTAGACCAACAAACTGTTGTCTGAACAGAGCAAGGAAACATTACATGGTTTTAAATTGGAGAAAGGGCTGCATCAAGGCTGCATCCTTTCTCCATACCCATTCAATCTGTATACCAATCATATCATTAGAGTAGCTGGATTTATGAAGAAGAGTGTGTCATTAGGATTGGAGGAAGACTCAACAACCTGCATTATGCAGATGATGTAGTGTTGCTTGCTGAAAGCAAGGAGCACTTGAGGTACTTGCAGCGAATCAAGGACTGCACCCTTCAACATCAAGAAAACAAAATTCCTTACCACTTGGCCAGTTGTTGTTATTTTGTGCCCATGAATTGCCTGAAACTCAGCAACCCTATGTACAACAGTTCTGAAGCCTGCCCTGTCTTGAGCCAGTCTCACTGACTCCAGTACACCTACTCCCATTGCCCCAGTTATCAGTCCATTTCATCTGGAGTTTTCCTCTCCTGTCCCTCCTCCCTTCTGAGCATGATGTCCTCCTCCAATGTCTGGTCCCTCCTGTCCATATGTGTAAAGGATGTGAGACAGAGCTTCAAAATCCTTCACATACCTCCATGGAGAAACTTGGTTTCACCCTCTCCAAGACAGACCTATTTGTTTACTGGGTGTTCTATGGTATGTTCAAGACTCTTCTCTAGCACCACAACTCAAAGACATCTATTTATTTGTCACCCTTAGTCATTTGTCCAGCTCTCTGATGCATGGCAAGTAATTGCAAAGACCATGATCTGCATCAGGAGCACTTTAGTCTGGGCCAGTAGGCAACTGATATTGTCAACAATTCCATCTTGCTTGGATCCACAATCAAATCTCTTGGTACCAGCTTCCAGGAGACGTATTGTATTGGGAAGGTCTGTTACCAAGGACATCTCTAAAGTTTTAAAGAGCAGTAATGTCAGTTTAAAGACTAAGGTGCTCCTGATTCAAGCCATAGTCTTTCCATTTAGATGCTTTGCATCTGAGAGCTGCACAGTGAATAAGGATGGCAGGAGATGAATTGGTACCTTTGAGTTATGGTACTGGAGAAGAGTGTTGAGTATCCCCTGGACTGCCAAAAGAACAAACAGATGCATCTTGGAGAAAGTACAACCAGAGAACTCCTTAGAGGCAAGAATGGCGAAGCTTTGTCTCACATACTTGGGACATGTTGTTAGGAGAGGCTATTCCTTGGAGAGAGGGCCATCATGGTAAAGTGGAGGACCAGGGGAAGAGAGAAAGACCCTCTGTGAGATGGACTGATAAAGTGACTGCAGCAACAGGCTCAAGTGTGTCGGAAATGGTAAGGATGGTGCAGGACTGGACAGGGTTCGGGTTCATGGGATTGCGCTGATTCATACTCGACTACGCTTACCCAAAAGCACTCTGGCGCTAGATCGTCACAGATCACACATGGGAAAGGTACTTCCTTTTAGCCTGTCGGAGAGGCAAACACTAGCCCTGCTAAGCTCTCACTCTCCCCGTGGCTTGTTAACTTACAGAAATGACTCCCAAACTTTATAGGGAATAGGATGATTTATGACAACCAAAAAGAATACACAGGAGGAGACACATAGTGTGATATTTAGAGGGAGCCATAGCACGGCACTTCTGTGTTTCAGAGGATCCTTTCCTATGCAGGATCACCACCCAGGAGCTTCTTGAGCTTCTGGCTCAGGCCTCTTAATTTAATAGTTTTACCATGTGGCCAAGATAGATTACATGCATTGACCCTCGGTGCTGTCTCTTTTGGTCTTGTCAGCCACCGTTCCTTGTCCTCAGGTTTTGGTACACTAGAAAGAATAAGGCCAGATAGCTTCTGTAATGAGTCCACACTTTTAACTTGAGAAAGGAGGAACCATCACCATCAATAAGATGGGAGCAATGAAAAAACAAGCCAGAAAAGTGCAGAATGAGACCTTCAAACACAGATCTAAAGTGTTTTGAGTCTGCATATGAGAACACGGCACACAAAAACACACGTTGGTGCCCAAAAGATGGTATCTTGGTTTATCATGATGTCTGTGGATAGGGAATGTGGGAATGGTTTAGCTGTGGTCTCATGATGTTGCATTGAAAATGCCAGTTGAATGACATTATCTGAG